TCTCATCTTACAGATAAGGAAACTGAGGCTCAGAGAAGTTGAGTAACTTGCCCAGGATCATGCAACTGCACTGCCTCCTTAATGCCTGGAGCAACACTGACCACACTGTAGTAGAGTTCATTAAGTTGATCTCTGTCCCCAGGAGAGCTGAGGTCATGTCTCTTTCATCTTTGGGTCCCCTGAAAGCACCACATGTCATATCTGGCCCAGTGCTTGTTGCAAGAATGGGAGGGCAAATGAATGAATGAGTGAGTGAGTGAGCAGGGGAGAAAATGAATGGTTGTTCTACCAGTCAAAGAAAGCTCACAGAGCCCATGCTAACCTGGACTCTGGGGTGAAGAGAGAGAAAGGAGCTGTTCCCATGGTCTCTGGCCCTGGGGAGCCCCTGGTTGGAGAGGGAGAGCTGCTTTGCCCTGGTTCAGGCTGGGATTGAAGAGTAGTTGTAAGAACAGCCCATGAGCATATGCACACACACTTGTGTGTGTGTGTGTGTATCTGTGTGTGTGTGTTGGGGGCGAGGTCACCCCACAGAGCCCAGTGATCACTGCAGCCTCTCCCCTAGGGCATCGTCCAAGCATACAAAAGCGGGACCCTTGTCCTCAGCAACACCACCAGCATGGGGCGCTGGGAGCTCGTGGGCTCCTTCTTCTTCTCTGTGTCCACCATTACCACCATTGGTAAGCGTCTGGCCGGACTGGAGTGGGTGGGACTGGGAAATGTGGCTGTCCCTGAGGGGCAGTAGGGCTGGTTGTTCTTTGGAGGGGTTACCTAGGGTCTTGCTACTCTAAGGAGCAGAATCTCAGGCCTCACGCAGACCTACTGAATCAGTTTCTGCATTTTGTCAAGATCCCCAGGGGGTTCCTGTGCAATCTCCAAGTTTGAGAAGCGCTACTTTAGGGGACTTTTGCCTCCCACAGACTTTCAAGAGGCAGAAGGTCTCCCAAGGGGCAGTAAAGATGTCTCTGGGCTCTGAAAGTGTTTGAGTCTTCTCAGCCAAGCCCACTCAACGCTTGGTAGTTGGTGGGGAGGAGAGAGGGGTGACTTCCTCTTCACAGCCTTGGGGAGAGGTGGTTGCCATCCCACCCATCCGCCTGACTCCAGATGAGACATCTCTCTTCAGCTCACTAACGTTCCCCTTCATCCCCATCACCATCCTCCCCAGGTTCCCTTCCTACCTCAGATGAGGGGGTGGGGGAGCAGCTGGACCAAATCCACCTCTGATTTCTCTCTAGCCGGCCCTGCAGGAGAGCTGAGGCGGAACTTGTCCAGGGAGAGCACCTGGGATGGTTTGTAAAGGGAGGAACAAGACCAGGCTAGATCCTTCCAGCTCTGAAACCCACAAAACAATGCCAATGGGGCCATTTCCACTGTCCTGGATGCCTGGCCTCACTGTCAGCTCCAGCCAGTCCCTGCATGACATGGAATTTACCACTAGGTGGCAGGCTAACACCACTGATAACTCAGAGTTACTGCCTTCCAGCTCTTGGCCAGTGGCTGTCTCGTTTCAATGAAACCAATATCTTGGCCTGTATTCTCCCCAGAGTGGGGTGAAGCAAGATCACCCAGAGAACTCTTCATCTGTTTTTAAGTCAGCCAATACTCCTTGTAAACAGCTCTCGAGGCCACAAGGAAGCCTGGGTAATCCTTTGCTTTCAGATAAGCAGACTTGGAGAGTCCTCAGACTCCATGACGCAGGGCCGCTAGAAGGACTGGCTGGGACTGTGTTAAATTGATCTTTACATCCCAGGGTCCACTAAAAATCTCCGCATACAATGGGCCCTCAACAATGCTACCACATTAATGAATTCAGTAACTATACATTCGATCAGAATTTATTGAGTTCCAGGGCGCGTTGGATGGGGGTCGGGGGAGGGATTGAAGCAGAGTCACGTTGGGCCAGGCCTCCCAGATGTGTGGGGGTCTTTAGTGTATGAAACCCACACCTCTCCCACCATCTACCGCAGGCCCGTGACCTTGACCCATCAAATCCAGAGTTTTTCCACCTATCTCTTCCCAGCCCCACCATTCTTGGCCTGAACTATCTCCTTGTTTCTTCCTCTCCACTCAGTCCTGCCCTAAAGCTGTCTGTGCCAGGTCTGAGGGTGAGGAGGGCAGAGGAAGGGAGATCCCCCCCCCCCACATACACACACACTACAGTAGAATACACTCGCGGTCTACTCATACCAAGCGCCATTTTTACATGAGATCTCATCCTTATGGCAACCTCCATGTCACCGATGAGGAAACTGAGGCACAGACAGGTAGTATGACTTGCCCAAAATCACACAGCTAGTAAACAGCAGAGTTGGGATTTGAGGGCTGGGAAACAGTTTTGCTTTTTTCCAATAGTGGTTACCCTTGGAAAGTGTCTTAGTCATCTAGTGTTGCTGTAACAGAAATACCACAACCGGATGGCTTTAACAAAGAGAAATTTGTTCTCTGATAGTCTATTAGGCTACAAGTCCAAATTCAGGTCATCAGCTCCAGGGTAATGCTTTCTCTTTTGGCTCTGGAGGAAGGTCCGTGTCATCGATCTTCTCTTGGTCTGGGAGCATCTCAGCGCAGGAACCTCAGGTCCAAAGGACGCGCTCTGCTCCCAGCACTGCTTTCTTGATGGAATGAGGTTCCCATGTGTCTCTGCTCGATTCTCTCTTTTGTATCTCCAAAGAGACTGGCTTAAGACACTATCCAATCTTGTAGACCTCATCAGTGTAACTGCTGCTAATCCATCTTATTAGATCATAGTGATTGAATTTACAACACATAAGGAAATCACATCAGATTACAAAATGGTACACAGTTATACAATACGGGGAATCATGACCCAGCCCAGTTGACAGATATTTCTGGGGGACACAATTCAATCCATGACAGAGTTTACAAGATAGGGTGGGAATTCTAAGCAACAGGAAGAAATAGTTAACCACTCTAGGGTGAACAACAGGGAAGCTCATGATTCTGTGATTCTGGCCACACATCCACAGGGAGGGGGTGAATTCAGAGAGAGGAGGAAGAGAGGTGAGGTATGTGTGGAACACTCCGCGAGGAAAGGGAGAAGTGTTCCAAGAAGCACAGGAGAAGGCTGCCTCCTTGGTACTCCCATTACCCTGGTATCAGTGCCCTGTAAGGACTGGCTTTCCAAGCCTCAGATGAACCAGAGGGTTTGGCAGGCGTATAGCTACTTCCGGGGCAGTATGACAGGCTTGAGCCCAGAAATCATTCATTATCTATTAACTCCGTCCCAGGTTTGCTCACTTGTTCACTCCTCTACCCATCCAACCATTTAACAAAAAAAATTGATCACCTACTGTGGGCCAGACTCTGTTCTAGGTGCTGGGAGTACCACGGTGAGCAAAACTGACCAAGTCCCTGCCCTCGGGGAGCTGACATTCTAGTGCAAGGGAACACACAATAAAAAAAAACAGGTGCACAGACAATATTCAGATGGTGGAGGGATTTGATAGTGATAAAAACCAAACCAAACCCATTGCCATTGAGTCAATTCCAACTCATAGCAACCCTATAGGACAGAGTAGAACTGCTCCATAGAGTTTCCAAGAAGCACCTGGTGGATTCAAACTCCTGACCTTTTGGTTAGCAGCCATAGCTCTTAACCACTACATCACCAGGGTTTTCTCAATAGTGATGGGGGGGAGCTGTTTTAGATGAGGTGGAAAGGGAAGGCCTCACTGATAAGATATCATTGAAGGAGAGATATGGACAAAATAAGGGAGCAAGCCATGCAGATATCTGGGGAAAGAACTTTCACTAGCAAGCACAAAGACCCTGAGGCAGGAGTGTGATTGGTGTGCTTGGGAATAGTAAGGAGATCCAGGTGACTGGAGAAGGTTGGGAAAAAAGGGGTGAAGTCAGAGAGGGTTCAGGGGAGCCTAATCACAGGGGGCCTTGTAGGACCCTCACAGGGTGCCCCAGGGCTGAAGGAGGTGACAGATGGAAGACGTGCTGAAGTGAGAGGTGGCTCAGATGGGGCTCTGGCCACCTGGCCTTCAAAAGGTAAATGAGGGCTTCATCGATATGCACTGATTTTGCTGACCTGAAGGCTGACCAAGAACAATGGGAGGTGAAAACCCTCACGGGGATCCTCTCAGAGCTAGAATCTAAGAGCTGCCATCCCACCAGGGAGTATTGAATGAAAAGAACCCCAAAGACAGAGAATGGGACTTGGTGAGTATATTCGTTTTCTAGGGCTGCTGTTACAAATTACCACAAACGGTGTGGCTTAAAGCACCCAAAATTTATTCTTTCACAGTTCTGGAGGCTAGAAGTCTGAAATCAAGGTATCAGCATGGCCATGCTCTCTCTGAAGCCTCCAGGGGAGAATCTGTTCCATGCCCTTCTCTCAGCTTCTGACTTTGCAGGCAATCCTTGGCGTTCCTTGACTTGTAAACTCCAATCTCTGCCTCCATCATCACGTGGAATTCTCCTTCTGTGTCTATGTGTCTGTGTGTCTGTGTTTCTTCTCCTCTTCTTATAGGGATACCAGTCATACTAGATTAGGGTCTACCAGAATGACCTCCTCTTAACTTGATTACATCTGCCAAGACCCTGGTTCCAAATAAGATCACAGTCATATGTACTGGGGGTTAGGACTCAAACATGGGAGGCACAATTCAACCCATAATTGGAGGTCCCACAGCTGGAGGAGGAGAGGTTAGTGAGGAGGCAGGCAGAATGATGGGTTAGCAACCAAAAGGAGGTTCACCTCTCCCTGGATGCCAGCAGAGAAAATTCCCTCCTATAGGAAGGCACCTTCTATAGAAATTCCCTCCTGTAGGAAAGGTGGTTGTGGGGATGAAATGAAGGCATGAAGGTACCTGGCAAATGAAAAGAAGGCCTTGATAAATATTAGCTGCCCACCTCTGGAGTGGGCCAGGAATGAGGGCCCCTGGAGGCTGTGGGGCTGGAGTGGGGCTGGGGGATGGGAGTAGGGCTGTGGGGTAGGAGTGGGCAGGGCTGGTCTGGGAAGGTCTCCTGAAGTGCCCTGTCTCTCTTCAGGCTATGGCAACTTGAGCCCCCAGACACTGGCCGCCCGCCTCTTCTGCATCTTCTTTGCTCTGGTGGGGATACCGCTCAACCTCGTGGTGCTCAACCGCCTGGGCCATCTCATGCTGCGGGGCATGCACCGCTGTGCCCACAGACTGGGGGGTGCCTTGCAGGTGAGGGGGTGCTAAAGAGGGAGGAGGAATCACTTCTAGAATGAGGGGATATGGAGGGGTGGGGGTCCTGGTGGGGATGGGTCACCGGTGGGAGCAGGAGTTACTTCTGGGAATCAGGGTCACTGGTGGGGATGTGGTGGGATGGGGGCCCCTGTCCAGAATGGAGGGCTTTCATATTAAAGAGGTGTCAGTGGTGAAGATGGGTGGGACTGGGCAGACAGGAGGAGCACCAGGCCGCAAAGACAGAGTCTTGGCCTGTGTCTTAGTTTCCTGGTGCTGCTGTAACAAAAATACCACAAGTGGCTGGCTTTAAAAGACAAAAATGTTTTTCTCACAGTTTAGGAGACTAGAAGCCTGAATTCAGAGCACCTGCTCTAGGGGAAGGCTCCTATCTGTCAGTTCTGGGGGAAGGTTCTTCTCTGAGCTTCTGTAGCCCCAGCCTTCCCTGGTTCCTTGGTGATCCTCGCTTAGCATTTACCTTCCTCTCATTTGCATTTGGAAACCCTGGTGGTGTAGTGGTTAAGAGCTATGGCTGCTAACCAAAAGGTCAGCAGTTCAAATCCACCAGGTGCTCCTTGAAAGTTCTGTGGGGCGGTTCTACTCTGTCCTATAGACCCTATCCTATAGGGTCACTACGAGTCGGACTCATAGCGGTAACTGGTTTGGTTTTTTGGTTTTCGTTTGCATTTTCTTCTGTGTCTAATCTGCTTTTCTTGTAACTCAGAAGTGGTTAGGTTTAGGACACACCCCTACACTGATACGGCCTTATTAACATAACAAAGAAACCCTATGTCCAGACAGGATTATAACCACAGGTATACCAAAACCAAACCAATTGCCAGAGTCAATTCCAACTCATAGTGACCCTATAGGACAGAATAGAACTGCCCCAAAGGGTTTCCAAGGAGCAGCTGGTGGATTCGAACTGCTGACCTTTTGGTTAGCAGCCAAGCTGTTAACCACTGCTCCACCAGGGCTCCAACACGTATTTTGGGGGGACACAATTCAATTTATAACTGCCTAGAACCTGGAAAATACAAAATAGCTGAAGGAGGCCCTGGGGGCAGCCCCTTTCTTACTGGGGGAAAGTGCTCCCAGCTAAGTACCCTCCAGGCTGTCTGCCTCCCCTGCCGCCATGCCCACGCACAGGGGCTGGTGGCATGATTTGCGTGCATCCACAGGACCCGGGCAAGGCCCGCTGGCTGGCGGGCTGCGGTGCCCTCCTCTCCGGCCTCTTGCTTTTCTTGCTGCTGCCCCCGCTGCTCTTCTCCTACATGGAGGGCTGGAACTACATGGAGGGCTTCTACTTCGCCTTCATCACCCTCAGCACCGTGGGCTTTGGCGACTACATAATTGGTGAGGAGCCCCCTGGCAGGTGGGCAAGTGGGGCACGTGTCTGCTGGGCACCTACTGTGTGCCAGGCATGGGGGGCTTGGAACTCAAAGTCCCACTTGCTTTTGTGGAGTGTGACAGGGCTCAGGTTACCCAGGTAAAAAGTAACCATGGAATCTGAACCCAGTGCTTTGGGCTGCAAGGCAGGACTCCTGCCCTTCTTGACAGGCACTGTAAGGTCCTCACATCCCCACAGACCCGACTGTCATCCTTAGAGCTCAACAGATACGGGGATAAGATTGCCCTGTCCTTGTCCTTGTCCCAGCATCGTCTCCCCCCCCCACCACTACCACCACCTCATCCTGCCGCAACGAGACACCAAACCTTGCCACTGCTCCTAGGCTGGGGGCCACATATTCATTTCACAGCCCCTGGGGATTACAGGTGACTCGTGCAGCCCCAGTCTCCATGTTGGTAAACAATTGGCAGCCAAATTCTGAGTGCCAGTAAGAAAGGGCTGTGTGGGCCAGAGAGAGGGCCTAAGGTGGGCTTGAATCAGTGATCACCAGCCAACGCAGATAAGAGCAAGGCCCCGGGAGCCACTGGCTTTGCATAAGGAAACGCGCTACTCCCTATTCCCTCACCCCTCCCCCCCAAAAAAATTAACAAACCCTTTGCCGTAGAGTCAATTCCGACTCATGGCGACCCCATGTGTGACAGAGGAGAGCTGCTCCACAGGGTTTTAAAGAGGCCTGTTGGCGCAGTGGTTAAGCACTTGGCTCTTCAGTCTTTTATAAAATCTACAACAGTCTTCCTATCTTCTTGTTTCCCCACAATGTTGATTTTTAAGGATCTAGGCAAGTTGTGCTGTCAAATGTCCTACATTCTGGATTTATCTAAACGTTTCCTCTTGATACCACTTCGTTTGTTCCTCTTCCCCCTGCATTTACTGGAGACTATGGGTTAGATCTACAGGCACCAGTAGATTCAGGTTAAATATTTTTGGCAAGGATACTGAGTAGATTGCTATCGTATTTTTTACTTCCAAGAGCTATTTCTTATTCTGTGAATGTTATGAGTAAAATAAGTATTTATTTTATCTCTGAAGTTTTTATAGGAGCCCTGGTGGCCCAGTGGTTAAGCACTTGACTGCTAACTGAAAGGTTGGTGGTTCTAACTCGCCAGCTGCTCTGCGAGAGAGAAAGACGTGGCAGTCTACTTCTGTAAAGATTCACAGCCTTGGAAACGCTTTGGTGCGGTTCTACTCTGTGCTATAGGGTCTCTGTGAGTCGGAATTGACTCTAGGGCAGTGGGTTTGGTTTTTTTGGTTTGGATGGCTGTGGAAGAAGCCCTGGTGGTGCAGTGGTTAAGTGCTAGGCTGCTAACCGAAAGGTTGGCGGTTCGAACCCACCAGCTGATCTGGAGGAGAAAGATGTGGCAGCCTCCTTCCATAAAGATTACGGCCTTGAAAACCCTATAGGGCAATTCTACTTTGTCCTATAGCGTTGCTATGAGTCAGAATTGACTCATTGGCAATGGGTTTGTTTTTCTGGAATCTTTACAGAAGCAGACCACCAGGTCTTTCTTCTGTGGAGCCACTGGGTGGGTTCAAACCACTAACCTTTAGGCTAGCAGCTGATTGCAAACTACCAGCCCCAACCCTCACCCTCCCCTATAATAAAGCTGAGGCTAGATGCCCAGCAGGTGGACACTTGATGTGGCTGCAGAAATGACTGGAGACCAGCCTGTAGTCACCCCTCCCCTCCCCGCCCTGAAGGTTCATCTACTATGGCCATATCAGCAGTGGCCACTGGCACCACCACCACGCTGGCCTCGGGGGGGCTCTGTGCCCTCCCTCTGATCATGTGGCCTTAAAGTGGGGAGGAGACCCTGCCCTTCACTCCTTCTTCGACAAAACCCAGCCTGGAGTATTGAAATGAGGTTTTACCAAAGGCTCAGTGAAAATAAAAGTGAAAGGAAATCAGAGGGTAACGACTGACTGACTCATGAGGCAAATGACTAATCATCACCCCCATTTTACCAAGGAGGAAGCTGAAGCTCAGAAAAGCCAAGTCACTATAGTTGCCTGAGATTGCACAACTAGGAATTCCTATGTGTTTGGCTCCAAAACTCACATGATTTTCAAACCACCTTCCACTCCACCCCACTCTCAGTGCCCTTGTTAGTAAAATGTGGCGAGTGCTAAGTCATCGCTAAGAAGCCCCTCGGTGCTTCCTCCATGTGCAGGATCCTCTTCCCTGGGCTTCTCTTCCCCCAGAAAAGGGGTCCCATGTGCAAGGCCTCATGCTACGCCTTCCTGATCTCCCCCATCCTGTTCTTCTGGAAGGGGCTGAGTCATGTTCCCATCTCTACCCTCAGAGTGGAGAGGTGTCTCAGGAGCACTGAGCCTAGTAGTCCCAAGGGCCATATCCACCCCCTCACAGCTCAGAGAATGATTCTTGGATCTGTCCTCTCCTCTCTATGCCTGCTGCTGTTTCCCTGTTTTCCCTAGTCCTAGGCAGGGCCTTTGTGTACAGCTGCACAGGTTGGGTACTGTACAACCCTAGAGGGTGCCATACAGACAGACCACAACGAGGATGACACCCGAAGTTGTACAGGCTCTATCCTTGTCCCTCCTTGCCTCTTATGACCTTTAAAAATTACAAGTTTCATCACGTCACCCACTCACCCCGTTTGCAAACCTTCAGTGTTTTCCCATAGTTTCAGGGTAGAGTTCAAAATCCACAACTAGGCCTGGGAGGGCCCTCTCTGTGACCCAGCCCCTGCCTCCCTCTCCACTCCAGACTCTCCCCCTTCTGTGCACACTCGATTGTTGCTAGATGCCGTCAAGTCAATTCTAACTCATAGCAACCCCATGTGGCTGAGTAGAACTGCCCCATAGGGTTTCCTATGCTTTACGAGAGCAGATCACCAGGTCTTTCTCCTGCAGAGCCACTGAGTGGGCTTGAACTGCCAGCCTTCTGGTTAGCAGCCAAGCGCTTAACTGTTGCACAACCAGGGTTCCTTGTGCTATACTTTAAAAAACCAAAACCAAACCCATTGCCATCAAGTCGATTCTGACTCATAGTCACCCCATAGGACAGAGTAGAACTGCCCCATAGGGTTTCCAAGAAGCTGCTGGTGGATTCAAACACCTGATCTTTTGGTTAGCATCCGAGCTCTTAACCACTGTACCACCAGGGCTCCTCTCTAGCCACCATGAAATACTATTGAGACTGGCTGTAGCAGCTTTGACCCTAAACCAAAAAAAAAAAAACCAAACCTATTGCAGTAGAACTGCCCCATAGGGTTTCCAGGGCTGTGTGATCTGGCAGTCCTGCAGCAACCACCGCCCCACCACCCCCAACCCCACACCACCCCCCCCAGTGCCCTGAGGCTGAAACTCAGAATTTGCTCCAGATCACCATCAAAAAGGCCTGGTTCTCAGGGGACACTCAGTGCAAAGAGAGGGGAAGAGAAATGGTAGCAGGATGCCCAGCTAGGGTCTCTTGGCACCCACCCATCACCAGGGCTCCCAAAGTTTGGTCCTGGGTGGAGAAAAGCTGACAAAAGGCTCACACACACCTCCCTACCCCCAGAAACGGACCTTGGGAAGCCCATTTGGGGTTGGTGGGAGAGTCTCTGTGAGGATGTCCTGAGGCCCCACTGTACCCTGCACAGGGCAAGGGAAGGTGGGAGCAGACCCCTCTAGGCATGGGTGCTCTGGAAATGGGAGGAAAGACCTGGAGGAAGAGACACTGAGACCCACTCAACCGTGTCTATAGAAGCAAGGAGGGCTGATCAGGACCCCTACCACCCTGTTGGCCAGCCCTGGGGGAACAACAGGACAGGAGAAGGCCAATACATGGGGCCCAGGCCTCTCAGAGCCCCCTTCTACCAAAACACCCTGACAGAGGCGGCCTGGTCCAAAACCAGCGAGAGCGCTTTAAGCCCAGAGGCTGCCCAGGCAAACCATTCCAGCCATCCCAGGGGCAGCAGAGATTTGCTCAGGTCTCCAGAGATTTGCTGCCCCATCTGGCTCCCTCTGCAGCACTTTTCAGTCTCTCATGGCAAGTGACCACAGAAGAGCCTTCAACCGCTTCAACTGCAAGGGATCTTTCTTATACAGATGGGGAAACTGAGGCCCAGAGAGGGAAAGGGAGTTGACTAAGGTCATAGAGCAGGCAAGTCAAGGACAGGTCTAGGACAGACTCCCAAGCCAGGGTTCCTCACGCAATACTTGTTCTAGAATCTTCTGCAAGCTGAGAAGGGAACGAACCCCACCTCCACCTCTTCCTCATATCTCTCAACATTCCTTGTCCTCCAGGAACAGGGTCGAACTCTTTTCTTAGATGGGAATGCTGAGGTCCACTACCTGGACACTCAGTGTCCATTGTGCCATGTCAGCAGCCACAAGGGTGTTATCTTCACAATCAGTCCTTGCCTGAAGGCTGTGGCTGGAGCAGCCCCCAGATCCCAGCCGCCCGCTCCTCCCTGGCCCCATAGCTCTTGCTTCCCCCAATTGCATTTGCGGCTCGGTTGAGCGCCTTGCCAGCTGCCAGGTCTCCTGCCACTTATGATTTTGGCCAAAAAAATGAAATAAAAGTGGAGAAGAACGCCGCCTCCCCTCCGTTACCAGGAGCAAGTCAAGCTGGTGTGTGACAGAGGCAGAGAGCTAGCTCACTGCTGATTTCATTTGGGACTGCCAGCGGAATCTTGGCCCCATAACCCAATCAGCCTAATCGAATCACGCTCCTGCTGGCAGCTGAGGTTGGCTCCAAGGCTGCGGGCTCATCTTTGGGCTAGGGTCCGAAAGAGGGGCCTGAGCGGGCCCAGCCTTGGGGGACAGAAGAGGGAGGCTGCTTTGGGGCTAGCGGGACAGGATGGCGTGGAGAGAAGTGTAGTACAGGGAACTAGAACAGGACCTAAGAGCAAGGCACTCAAGGGAAGGGTGTGCAAATTGAGGCTGGAGAAATAGACAGGGGGCCTTCAGGTAGGATTTGGGACTTCATCCTAACAGCCAAGGGGGAGAAATTATTTTCCCCACTTCCCAGGTGAGTGACATTCGGACGGGAGTCACACAGTGAGTGAAAACAGGCAGGATACAAACTCGGGCAGTTCCCTGTTGTTGCTAAAGCCCCTGGCTCCAGCAAGCTGCCTCCCTTCAGACAGGAGGAAGCCAAAACCAGAAACAGGTGAACAATAGAGCAACAGAGTGTGCATCAGAATCTCCAGGAGGCTGTGTTAAAACAGACTGCTAGGCCCAACCTAGGGCTTCTGATTCAGGGGATGCGGGTGGGACCCAAGGATGTGCATCTCTAACAAACTCCAGGTGATGCTGGTGCTGCTGGTCAGGGACCACACTTGGAGAACTGCTGGGAGAGAGCATGAACAGAGCCCGTCAGAAGGACAATGAGGAAATTTAGCTTCCAAGCCCAAGGTGCCAATCCAGGGAGCCTTCCTGGAATCCTAGGGAGGTGACCGCAAGGCCAGGAACCGCAGACCATTCTGGACTTGCCATAGTCTGTCCCATTGACCCCTCAACTTGCTCATATGCATCGAGACATGTACCCCATTTCTGTTTTGGGAATGTGGTCCCAACTTTTCCAGGCCTCTATCTTCTGACCTTTCCTTTCCCCCAGGGATGGACCCCGACCGGAAGTACCCAGTGTGGTACAAGAACACGGTGTCCCTGTGGATCCTCTTTGGGATGGCATGGCTGGCCTTGATCATCAAACTGATCCTCTCTCTGATGGAGACCCCAGGGGAGGTGTGTTCCTGCTACCACCACAGCTCCAAGGAAGACCTCAAGCCCTCAAGCTGGAGACAGGGCTCAGACGGGGAGCCGGAGCCCCACTCCCAACAACTGGCCTGCCGTGCAAAGGAACCTGCAGAAATCATCTAGCATCCAGAAACCTCTACTTGGGCTGTGCACTGTAGCAAGGACAGCTAGTTATACTCCAGTATTTGTTACTTTTTCTTCCTCATGGCCACCCAGACTAAAGACTGCATTTTCTATCCTCCCTTCAGGCTAGGTGCAGCTATGTCATTAAATTCTGTCCAGTGGGATATACAAGGAAGTGTTGTGTGTGACTTCTGGCTGCAATGCTGATATGATGGCTGGAGCTCTGGCAGCTATGCTACACCATGAGGTAGATAGAGGTCATGTTAGAAATTGGTGGCACAATAAGATCGAAAAAGCCTGGATCCCTGATGGATCACAGAGCCACCATAACAAACCTGCACTGGATACCACCAGACTTTATTTATGCGAGAGAGAAATAAACATCGATCTCATTTAATACACTATTGATAGAGTTTTTCTGTCACTCACAACCAAATGTAATTCTAATTCACACACACACACCCAGAGACAAAGGCAGCATCCGAGCCTGGAGCATATCCAGAGAGCAACCACTCCCTTCCCAGGTGGGTTTGACCAGGACCGGTGGAGGAAACGGATCAAGGGCTGGAGTGCTGGTCCCCGGCACCTCTGGGGACTCTCCAGGTAAACTTACTAAAGAGTTGTTAACTCTCAGGGTTGATATAGCCAGTGGGCAGCTGGTGCCAATTCAGCTGCCAAATCCCTGCTTTATTACTTACACCCAGAAGAGCCAGGTGCAGACCAGTGGGCCCCAGCCTGCTGCCGCTCCCTGCCCTACTGATCAGCACCCAGACTTCTTGTGCATTCTAAGGCTACAACCATGGTTTGCAGATCCACGTAGGGTTTGCAGAGTCACTTCTGCTTGCAGAGCCTCTCATCCTGAGCATACTGCTGCCTCTTACTCAGGGTTGCTACAAAGGTAGCACAGAATGGTGTAGTCCCCATCATACACACACATTACATACTCGGGTTCCCAAGCCCAGCCAGGAGCCCCTGGCAGTACCGGCCAGAACCCGAGGGTCACCTGGCCTCAGTGAGCACCTGTGATTCAACTCCCCTCCACTGTCCTACAGGCAGCATCACAAGGACCCAGGGAGCTCCATGTGCCCCCCTCTCCCCAGCTCCCATGGACAAACCCCTCAGCCTCAGGGCCCTCCTGGAACTGGACCAGGGGAAGCCTTGGGCCAAGGAAGAAGTGAGGGCTGTTGCACCATCCAGCTTACACAGTCTGGCCAGGCCCTAAGTGGTCCAAGGCCAGACCCAGAAGCAAGCGCCAGGGAGTAACAACAGGCCCATGCCTGCTTCCTGATGCCCACAGGGCTGCGCTGGGGAAATGGAGGGGAGGAAGGGGTTACTAGAAGTCTGAGATGGCATTCTTTGTACTTAACACACTGCAGAAAGATGAGCTCGCAGTTCAAAACTGGGAAAGAGGGAGAGATTAGAGTGCTCTGAGTTGGTGGCTGTGGTCCCAGCTCTGTTTTGCCTGGGATCCCTTTCCCCTCATTCTTGGCCTCACTGAACTCAGTCTCTCTCATCCCCATTGGGCTCTCCACCCCCATGCCTATCCCTACCCCATGTTCAGAAATGCTTGCCCCAGAGGAAACGAACCTGGGGAGCTGTGTGGGAGTGTGGCCCAGAGGAAGGATTCTGATTGGCCAGTCCCTCACAAGGTCTGCTCCACCGGCAATGAGAAGTTTCTGGAACTCTGAGGTCTCAATCCAAGAAGTGGCAAAGGCAGACGGGTGGAGAGGTAGGTGAATGGGGGGTAGGGGGGGAGTAAGACGCATGTTGGGAGCCCCCTGGAGAGATCTGGATCTGAAAAGGGCACAAGAGCAGAGTATCAGAGCTCTGGACAGAAATCATAAAATAGAATGGACAGTGAGTCTTTATCTCATAGACAAGAGGGAAAGATGGTCCCTTGGGAGGGAAACAGGAGTGACGATAATATGACAGGGGCAGGCTAGGAGTATGACAAGGAACCAAGTCATTTGTTCATTTACCGACCTAGGCCAGGTCACCGAAGAGGAGAAAAGAGGACTCCCTCTGGGTAGTGTAGCATAGTGGTTAAGGGTGTGAAGTTCAGTGCCAACCTGCCTGGATTGAAATCCTGGCTCCACCGTTTACCAACTATGTGACCCTGGGCAAATCACTTAACATCTCTGTGCCTCAGTTTCCTCCTCTGTAAATGGAGCTAAGAACTCACTTAAACCTCCCAGGACTAAACGAGTGACTGACTGTGTGTACAGTACTGAGAATGGTGAGCAGCAGCGCAGAAGAAGCTCCATGATGTGCATTTCCCGTTCCCCAGCCAGACTCACCCAGTGGACAAGAACAGGAGGCAGACACTCTGCAGGCCGGCAGCCGCGTGGCAGGTAGCGCCTCTGCTGACCCCTCTCAGGGCTGGGCTGAGCACGCAGTGACGAAGGACTGAGCCCTGCCCTTGGGGGGCTCCCAGGCTGATACCATTGAGTTACTGGCCAGGATGAAGGGTCTGGACACCCATGAGTCAGAGGAAAGAAAGGAGGAAGTGCGTGCCAAGTGTGCAAAGGCAGCCTAAGGGGCGGTCCATGGCTGCTCCCAGGATGTCGAGGGAGGGCCGACTTCCAACACCAGTGACTGCCTCTGCCTTTCCCCCACCGGCCTGGCTGCTGGCTTTAGCGTGGTTGAGGCAAGATCAGGCCCAGCATCATTGGGCGTTTCCCTTTCAAATAGGAACATCTTCTATTATCATTATTTCCTAACATTTATTGGGTGTTTGCTATATGCCAGGCACTGTTCTAACTAAGCTCTTTATTTGTACGAAGTCATTTGCTTCTCCCATCAACTCTGTGAGAAAGGAATTATTGTTTTTAATGCTGTCTTAAGATGGTGAAAATGAGATTTTTAAGTGATGTTAAGACCCACGGTAGTCACCCAGGCTGCCGTCTTCCTGGGCTGGGCAACAGGGAGACTCTTCCTTTAAGTCCTGTGTGATCTTGACCAATCACTCCCCTTTCTGTGCCCCTTCTCACCTATAAAAGAGGGGGCTGGCTTCAATGGCATGGAACCTCACCACTCCTGCTCCCTCCGCCTCTGTCTGGGTTTTTCTGATTAAACATCTCTGAGAGTGCAGTTTCAGACCCCACCCACCTCAGTACTCCTGGGGCTATCTCCAGCATTTGGATCCAAGGAGGTATCTCTCTCTCTCTTTCTGACACACACAACACACACACACACACACACACACACACAGGATCTGGAGAAACAAAAGTGATCTGCATTGAGTTCCCCAGGCCCTCAATCCCTTTCCTCACGCTCCCTCCAATCGGAAAGTCTGGCTGGGGGAGGGGTGTCATTTTAGGAGCCTGGGCCAGAGAAGGACCTGACTCTGGAAGCAGGAGGACTCCTCAGTGTGGGATAGCAGCTGAGTCTTCGCCATCCCAGTTCCCCTCGGCCCTTACCTCACCCGATCCCCACCCCTGGGCTCCAAGCCCAGAGATCACTATCCATTACCCAAAGCAGGCCCCACTGACTCCCTCCCCGCTTACTCTAATACAGTGCTGGACCCGGGACCTCCTGCCCCACTGACCATTCCATGCCCTACACACCCCCAATACGCAGTGCTGGATCCTGACTCTTCTGCCCCTCCTTTGTCCTTTGCCGGCCAGACTTATCTACAGCCAAAATTGTTCCTTGGGGTCAGGGACACAATCCCCCTTTCCCAGGCCCTCGAAGACCATCCTTAGGGTCCTTGCCCAGCATTCTCAGCCCCCACCCACACTCCAATCACAAAATCTCTCCTAATCCCTCAGGGACCCCACAGCAGCCCAAGGCCAGGAGGCAGGAAAGACAGTCAGAGCCGGATGACTCCCACCCCAGTTACAGCTCTTGTGGAGGCAGGGCTGCTCCCCCACACCCACCAGAACATTCACCAGAAGTGTGAAAGCAAAACCAGTAACTGGTCTCACCTTCCTCGCTTCTAATGAGCTTTCTGGCTGTGCTTCTTCTAAGACAGATTTGTTCGTTCTTCCGGAAGTCCATGGTATACTCAATATTCTTCACTAACACCGTAATTCAAAGGCATCAGTTATTCTTTGGGCTTCCTTATTCATTGTCCAGCTTTCATATGCATATGAGACAATTGACACCTTAGTTCTTAAAGTGACATCTTTGCTTTTTAACACTTTAAAGAGATCTTTTGCAGCAGATTTGTCCAATGCAATGCGTCATTTGATTTTTTGACTACTGCTTCCATGGGCGCTGGACACATCATGAGGAGGGACCAGTCCGTGGAGAAGGACATCATGCTTGGTAAAATGGAGGGTCAGCAGAAAAGAAAAAAGACCTTCAGCAAGATGGATTGGCACAGTGGCTGCAACAATGGGCTCAAACGTAGCGACGATTGTGAGGATGGCACAGGACTGGGCAGGGTTTCGTTCTGTTGTACATAGGGTCGCTGTGAGTTGGAATTGACTTGATGGCACCTAACAACAACAATCTCTACGGGAGCAGATAGCCAGGTCTTTTCTCTCGAGGAGCTGCTTATTGGTGGGTTCGAACAGCTGACGTTTCAGTTTGCAGCCAAGCTCTTAGCTGTCGTGACACCAGGGCTCCTTGAGTTAAGGAGACAGACTGTAAAATCAAAAGGTTGGTAGCTGTGTCAAGGAGGGGGCAGCTCCCACCAGCTAGGCTGGCCAGGGGGGCTGGGGTCTGGGTAGGGGCGTTGATGCTGGTCATTATTCTCCCTTGGTTCCGTCCTCTTGTCCACTCTCTGACTTTCTCTGAATCCCTGAACCCCAGGGGGTGTTATGGATTGAATTGTGTCCCCCGAAAATATGTGTTGTAAATCTTGCCCACTATACCCATGTGGGACTGGGGTTTTCTTTGTTATGTTGATGAGGCCATATCAGTGTAGGGTATGTCCTAAACCCAACCACTTTTGAGACATAAAAAGAGCAGATTGGGCACAGAAGCAAGCAAGCACAAATGAGAGAAAGATAGATGCCACGTGGAGATCTTCAAGGAAGCCCAAGAAGAAGCTGAGACAAGGATTTTCCCCCACAGCGGACAGAGAGAGCCTTCCCCTAGAGCTGGTGCCCTGAATTCAGACTTCTAGTCTTCTGAACTGTGAGAAAATAAATTTCTGTTTGTTAAAGCCACCCACTTGTGGTATTTCTCTTACAGCAGCACTAGCAAACTAAGACAGGGGTGGTGGTGGGGTGGTGGGAAGGGGATTGACCTCCATGGACTGTGTTACCCAGACTCCCTTGATCTTTGCCTTCCAGTTTGATTAGGCCAATGGGAGACATGGAAAGGAGATGAGAGGGCAGGAGGAGAGAGAAGTCAGGGTATTTATCCCACCCTGCCCTGCAGACCCTGGTTCTGCAGTAAATTTATTCCTTGCCTAAGGGCGCAGGTGTCTTTGTGGCAGCCCCTTCCCCGTGGTAGCGTTCTGGCTGTGTTGCAGAAATGGCGCCCTCTCTTGCCCCTTCAGGCCTAGGAGTGGTAATGACTTCTACTGTTGCTAGTCGCCTTGTGCTGCATTATCCCTTAGCCCTCCCACATTCTATGAATAGTCCCTTCATTACATTCTCCTCAATTCACCCTTGGAAAGTGCCATCTGCTCCCTGCAAGCACCCAGTTCTTCAATCTCCCACCTCCTCCCTGAGCGAAAATGCCGGCCGGCTGGGGGGCAGAGACCCAATGAGCTGAAAAAAAGCCATGGAGGAATCAACCAGCCACCTTGGCCCAGGAGCAGCTCCAGCTATTGCTCTGGACAATGGTGAGGGTGGAGACCTCGACCTGGTTGCCAGGCAGACCCCCTCACCCTGCCTGCCCTATCTGATTGGGGACAGTAGCTTTATAGAAAAAAAAAAAAGACTCTCTAAACCACGTTCTAGGCTTTGCAGAGAAGTCAAGGAGGAAAGTTCCAACATGGAACTCCTTCATCAGACGGAGAGCTCCATGACATCATAAACAATGTTTCCCCCATCTGACTAGGTGCTCCCTGAGGACAGGGACTGTGGCTTACTCATTTTTTTTTTTCCTACTATCTCCAACATCTACCCAGTGGCGAAGCGAGGGTAAGGAGTGCCCAGGGGCAATCTTTACTTTTACGCACCCCCACTCCCCGTCGATTGGGGGGGGGGTGATTCGCCAGCCAGGCTCCTCTGGCACCCCGTTGGACTTGCACCTGGGGGCAAATGTCCCCCTCTAACTCTCCAGCTCAATAACAAACAAGCATCTCTTAGGTGCCAAACCAGGTGACCCAGAAATGTAGAAAACAAGATCCCCGCAATCTAGTAGGAAAGCAGGTTCGTAGAAAAAGCCCATAGAACAATATAGTGCGTGCTGAGCTGGCAGTTCAGAGCGTGGTCCCTGGAGCCAGCCTGCCTGGGTTCAGCGCCAGTCTATCCGCCCACTCACCATGTGACCTTGGGCAAGTTACTTCACCTTAGAGTGACCAATTTCATCCCAGGTTTCCCGGGACTGTCTCACTTTTGAAACTGGAAGTCCTACATCCAAAGATCTCTCTTAGTCCTAGGAAAACCAGCAGAGCTGTCCACCCAACTTAACCTTGTGCCTCAGTTTTCCCATGTGCAAAATGGAAATAATAATGGTATCTGCCTCACAAGGAAGGTGGCTGTGTGGATTAAATGAGTTCATGCATATCAAGAACTTAGAAAGTACTTGGCACAGAGTAAGTGCTGCATGATTGTCTTCTTTGAGTTCCCCAGAAGCAGACCCTGGAACAGGATCCCAGATTGGTCTAATCAACTACAAGTTGTTTATTTGGGAAGTGACTCCCAGAAGCTCTAGTAAGGAAGTAAAACACGGAAGAAAAGGAAACTGATAGAGGGAATGTTAATGAGCAGGTGGCCACTGTGGGCAACGGAGGCTCAATCCCCTGGAGCCCTCTGGGAGACCGTGTAGAGCATGCTTCAGAGTTGTTCCACCTGGGGGACAAGGAGACTGAGGAATTTAATCCCCAGTTTACATCTCTTACTGATTGACAGCTGCTCCCTCTGGTAGTCTCGTGGTAACTCCAGGTTTTGCAGAATAGAACTGTGCTCCACGGGGTTTTCAAGGCTGTGAACGTTTGGAAGCAGATTGCCAGGCCTTTCTTCTGAGGTACCTATGGGTGGGTTTGAACCACCAACCTTTCAGTTAGTAGTTGAGCCCTTAACCAGTTGCACCACCCACACACAGGGTCGCCATGAGTTGGAATCGACTCACTGGCAACTGGTTTTAATTTTTCCGTAGGGTAGGGAGGTGTTAACTTCCCTGGTGTTAACTTATGGCCTGGAAGCCTGCAGAGTAGATGGGAATGGTGAGTGCAGAGCAGGCAGGGCACTGTCAGCATCTACTGTGTTTGTGTAAACCATTATTATGAGGGATAGGAGGCATGGGAGCAGAGGGGACACCTGCCCAGCTGGAGGAAAGTGGAGTTGA